ATATTAATCCTCTCTTCCGTCAACTGACCTCCACCACTTCCACTGCTTGTTGAACTCCACTGTTTGCCACCTCCTCCATTCCCAAACCTTAATATTTTATATCCAATCTTAATTTAGAGATGATTCAAGCCTCCACATTTGTTGTCTGCCATCTTTGTTGCAACCCAAGAATCTGAATAATTAATAAATAAGCATAACTCTATTGACATCTAAAATTTTAAAATTTATCACCACCTATTGCAATCTGAAACCAAATTGATTTCCTTAATCTCCATTGATAATTAGAATCTTACAATTATGGTTAAGTTATCATGTTTGGGCTAATTGTTTAATTTCTTTTGTAACGGATTGCAATATGAAGGGTTTGCAGTAAAAAATCTCAAACGCGTGAGGGAAAAAATATATATTTCCTTTTGGATGATCCGCAAAAAGATCCAAATAATTTTTATTAATTATTTTAAAAAAAAATTTACACATGCTATATTTTTATTGGTCCATATCAGCATCAGAAGGACATTCTTACTTATGCAGCCTGAGGCAAACATTGTTCATTCTTTTCTCCTGTCAATTTTATTAAAATCCTAGCACTTTAATATTACTTTTTATGTTAGGAGAGAACAAGAAAGAGAGATTGTTAATATTAAATTTATCTAATAATTAAGGATCACAGGGAGGCCACCAATGCACCTCCTCATTCTTTTTTTTCTTAGTTGATACTCACACACATATGTTTTCATGGAGACTTAAATCCTTGACCGCCTTTAGGGAAGTAAGAACCTGATACCGCTAGGCCACTGACCTGTTGGTTATCCCTCCTCATCCTTATTTACCGAAAAAAAGAATGTACCCTCCTTATTCTTCTAAATCCTCCCATTCTTTTATTTTCCTCCTATTTGAATTCAAGACAAAGGTAAAGTGCAAACTGTATAGAAAAATGTGCAAAGAACACCACACCCCTCACGCGCAAAAAACATCCATAAAGTTTTAATTTGGTGCAAATTGGTCCCTCTGACAAATTTAAACCATAAGTTGACTAAATTACCCTTACTGAATCATTTTATAAAATATATAAAAATAAATAATTTTATAAAATGACATAATTGGAGGACACACCTCAGTGCAAAAAACACCTTTAAAATTTCAATTTGGTGCAAATAGGTCATCTAACAAATTTAAACTTTAAGTTAACTAAATTACCCTTACTGAACCATTTTATTGAGTATATAAAAATAAATAATTTTGTAAAATGACCGAAAATGACACTATTGGAGGATGCCAGTAATGGACAAGTAAAGATAAAAATAGAAATAAAAATAAAAGTATAAAAGAAAAGTAAAGATAGAAATAGAAAATAAAAAACGAAAATAAAGTGTAAACTAAATAAAATAAATTTGCTTCAAACTCCGAAATCAGTGCACACTGATATTGGAATTATATATATATATTTGTGTTTAACTGTGTTGGTATGAAAAAAAATCTAAATAAAGAAGGAAAAAAAAAAGTAAAAACTAGTAAACTGAAATCTCAAAAAATTCAAATCCTTGTTCTATAAATTCTCAAATTTTCAAAAAAAATAAAAAAATAAAATTACATATAGAGAAAAAAGTTTCAATATATAAGGTAATGTGCACATAACACCACTATATTATGAGATTGGTAATATATATACTTTCTTGAGCATTTTCGGAAGAGTAAAAGGGCAAAATGGGTATTACAACACTAATTTATGTCAGATTTTTTTATTAAGGGGTATTTTTGCACAATACGAAAAGATTTGGGGAGTTTTTTGCACACTTTTTCAAATATGGTTAAAAGCGGTACGCGAAATATATTTTAGGGGTGTTTTCTGCATTTGTTTCCTTTTTCTTATGCATGTGCATATAAATCTCTGTATTTACAAAATTTGGAGCAAATTGCCACTTGACAGCTCATTTTGACCAATTTTTTTTAATAAAATTTTCGAAATACCCTTAAGGGATTTTAGATATATCTTTTTTTTAATAAATAAAAAATAAATAAAATAAGAATAAAGAAAATAAAAACAAAAAATAATAAAAACAAAAAACAAAAAAATAAATAAAATTTTATTTTTGGATTTTTTATAATTTTTTTTAAAAAATAACCTTTTATTTTATTTTTATTTTGTCTGAAGAGCATTTTTTTCAATCTTCAAATTGAAGAATTATCTTTATTTACTTAATTTGAAAAATGTACATAGCCAATTTTTTTATCATTAGGTATTAGCACGTTATGTACATATATAATAGGAACATTTTTGAACTTTACCCTTAAAACAAACATGAGATAACTTATCTCTCTTTATCCTTTATTATTATTTTTTCTCTCTCTCTTATTTTCCTCAATCCAAACGAGCCTATGAAAGATGAAAAAGTCTAAAAAATGCCAATGTTTTCTTTGCGGGGCCAAAATTGTGGATAATTTTTAAAAAATGATAGGTCAAATGGGGCATTAGAATTTGACACTTGTATTGGTCCATTTTTTTAGTATTTTTAAAACAAAACATTTCTATAATCTTTTATTTGGATAATCAAAGTGAGAAATGTCTAGGAATGCCCCAAATAGAAACATCGTCTTTATTAAGTGCACGTGTTGTTGGATAGTGATGGAAGAAGCTGGATGGAAATAGTTTAAAAGATATTTATTCACTTGTGCGAATATTTATGCTATTTTCTCTATTCACACTTAGGACATGAAAGTGTTTGACAAACCATTGTACCTATGAGCCCATGTGACCATTGAGGAACCTTCTTTTGACCAAAATGGCTGCTAACATGGGAGTGCCTGTCATTTTATGAGCAATTTAAGCTGATAATGAGTGAACCTTCTTGAATTTGTTGAAATGGCTGACAAATTAAGACAAAAGAAAAAGGTATGTACCATGATTGTACTCTTAGTCATTCATGGGGATGTCACTTTAACCGGTTTCATTTTTATTGGAACAAGTTAGAGTTTATTTTAAATAGGGTTATGAACGAATTTGAAAAAAAAGCTTAAAATCTGTCAAGCTTAAGTTGTAATCTTTCTTTTTCCTTTATTATTAAGATAATTTAAAATTTTAACAATTATTTTGTTCTAATGATTGCTAATTATTATATTTATTTTAAATTTGATCAAGATTGAATTGTTTTTTTTATAAAAATATGTATGCGGGAAGGCTTGGATCCCCCTCGACTCCGATTGGGGGCGGGATGGGATGACTTGGGAAAAATATATATATTTATAAAATGGAGGGCAAACTTGAAAAAACACCCATAATGTTTAAATTCTAAGCAAATATCATCCTAAGGTACTTTTTGAGAATATAAGTGTGGACTTGAGGACACTATTTGGTTACAAATTTACTCATGTGCAATTTATTTAAAATATAAAATTTCAAAAATATCGAAACCATTTGGTATTCACTGACCTTTTTATGTTTCAATCTTCGATCCATCAATAAAACACATAAATCCTCCTTTGAATTGAAAGAGAAATTGCTTAGAATAGTTGTTTTTCCTTTATGATTATAATTGCTCTGATTTTGTTTTCTATCCAGTGTTTATTGTATCAAATGATGGATTCTTTTATGGTACGAAAACTTGACATCATTAATATTCTAATATTCATTCGTATCAAGTAACAACTTTTCTATATATATGTGTGTGTGTGGTAGTAGTCTAAGTGATTCAATTTTCTTAGTGAGTGTTCCTGTGTTTGAATCTCCTATCCCCCTAATTTGCCGCAAGCGAAAAATATATACATATATTACATGGCACAATTTTGTGAATACTCAAATTCACTCCAACACGTTTAAACCAGATGGTTAGACAAATGTTGGTCCATCTTCGTCTTGGTGATTTTGAATCATAAGTTCAAGTTCTAGATCAAAGTGTCAAGGCTGAAAGAGAGAGAAAAACTTAATAATTTTATATGAAAAACAAAACGAAGAAATTGTCTTCATTCCTATGATTGACTACTAAGCAGCGGTCGCGAACTTACCATCACAATCATCAATTAGATGATGTGAAATTTCGAGCCTCTTTCAATTTATCAAAGTTTGAATGAAGTTGATGCATTTAAAAATATGGTAGGACCATTTGTGTGGACTGGAGGTGCGACGAATTTTAATTGAACTCACAACTTGACTGACTTACCATCGTTGAATTCACTATAAGTAATCAAATGATTCCCACTAAACGTCTAGATGGGTTCCCTGAAGATTCTTGTTTCAGTGCAGCTAAAAACAATGGTAGCAGCACATCAAAGGCTTAGGCATTTTGTTTTTACCCGAAATAAAATAATTATTTTGTTTCAGAATGTTTTGTATAATAATTCAAATCGTGTTTGGTAATATTTATTTGTTATAAGATTTTTGAAAGCGAAAATAGGAAAACATAGTTGGTAAAAAGGTGTTGCAAGTTTGAATATCAAATTGGTGTTTTGATTTTGGTCACTATTCATGAAACGCATTTTTTACTAAATGCATTTTTAGCACGATTCATCATTATAGTATCCAACAAAAACAAAAATATCAAAAACAAAACGTGAACTAAACAGGTCCAACAATCATTTCCTGTTGAGGTTTTCACCATTAAACCAGTTTATGAATCAAGGTTGAGTGTCCGATGGAGCTCCAATAGAACTTTTGAAATATATATACGCACAAAAATATTTATATTATATAATTTAATACACAAATCTTACTTTATAACCCCCAAAATAGAGTCAAATATCAAAATATAATTTATTTAATACTAAATAATTGGAATAAAACTCCATTGAAATGAATTGAGTATGATTATGAAAGGTCATCGTTGTTCCTCCTCCTTTTTTATTTATTTATTTATTTTTTCATCTGAAAGTTCAAGCAAACATACGTACACCCACACAATATGTCCCTAACATATTCGAACGCTCAACCTTCTAGGATAATGTCCATTAGTATCCCCTCTTTTTCACCCTTAGCATAAGATACAAAAGAGTAGTAATCTCAAAGTATGATAAAAGAAGCAAATTCTTTCAATGGAGCTAAATATAAGAAACTAACATTACATTTTCATAGAATATAAACTAATCTAATTTCATATATATATATATATATATATGTATGTATGTAGTCTTCAAGAGGAGGTGTGAGAATGTTGCAACGTCCATTCACTGATCGGCACTTCATAATTGTAATATACAACACAAGGGCTTTCATGGTTGTGAACTCCTTCATAGGAGGTTATCACATAGCTCGAGTCTTCTCTGTCTCTTTCTACTCTCTTCTTCACTTTGCATGCTTGGTTTGAGCATTTGTAGTAATTCCTGTTTAATTGTTGCTCAAATAAATCAGATTTATAGCTAGTTAATTTATAATTAAGCATGGGTTGACAAAGAAAATGCATGATATAGTAACCATTTTACATTATTTACGATCCTATACAAATTTTAAGTTTCCCTTGACTTTTTATATATTTCTTTTTCTTCCACAACAACCATTTACTTAGGGTTGTTCATTTGATCCGTGAATCTAATCTGGTCGAAATTGAAACCAATGGTTACGATTATTTTTTAATCTACTGATTTGATAGTAGATTTATAGATGAGATCGGTTTTTGAATTTGGGTCTCAAAAACCTATCGGCCGATTCGATGTCTATATAATATATTATCGTAATGGTGGTCTTACCATATTTCTAAATTTCAATTAATTTGCAGAGGCGGACTATCAAAACTAAATAATAAACAATGATAAGGAAGCTTTATTGTGTAATTATAATGGATTATTTCGTCTCATTCTCACATTGGATTGCTCGTAAAAACTCACAATCCTAAAACCAAAACATTACTTTCATAGATTGAATCGGTTTGGTTTAAGTCTTCCAATTTTCTGTTTAGGTTGAATTTATTTTAATTTTATGCCTAACTCTAACCAATTCAATTTGTGTGAACTCGTATTTATTTCTATGGAGACTTTAACCTTCGACTGACTTTAAAGAGTAAAAGAAGATGCTTCTAAACTACATACAATAACACACACACACACATATATATATGCATGCATATGTTCAATTAAGATGGGTCAGTCAAGTGGTATGCAGATGTGGGGAAGGTCTCTCCAACAAATTAACGCGACTCTGATTGATTTGGTAGTTTAAGATGCAGAAGGAAGGGGCTTTATCCAACAGAAATAATATTCCATTTTTCTTTTCTATTAATTTACTGTTTTTGTTTTTTTATGCAATATAAATATTAAATATTGAGGTAGCTGCCTTTCCGCGAAATGAAGTTGACAAGCAGTCAAGCACTTATTATTAATTATTATCACTAAAAAGAGAATATTGCAGTAAGAATCCATGAATAATTGTACTCTAGTTAGGCAAGTTGAAACAAAATAATCCTTATATATATATATATATGAGGAAATGAATCAAGGTTTTGTATGATCTTAATGCTTCAAGTTGTGATAGAATATACTCTCTATCAATTACTAAATCAACATTATCATAATTGATGATTCATTGTTAAATGTAACCCAAAAAAAAAAAAAAAAAAAAAAAAAAAAGAAAGAAAGAAAAAGGGAAGAAGAAGAAGAAGAAGAAGAAGAAGATAAATTGCATACAGTGACACACACACACACATATATATCAAAAGGTCTTATTGATCATTTACCTTAGATTGGGGCTATCTTTCACCCTTTTCTTCCCATACTTTCTCCATTTAAATCCATCATCCATGACCTCAACCTCAGACTTGGTACGAAAAGCAATCCTTAATCCCTTATCCATATTCTTAACTGATCTCTTCAACCCTTTTCCAGATTTTCTACAATAATAATAACCAAATAAAATAAAATAAATAGATCGAATTAATAACAAAAAAAAGAAAAAAAAAAAAAACTAACAGATCACTTAGACACTTACACTTGCATGTGATTATTGGTTCTTGGCATGCCACAGATTGAATTAACTGAGCTTTCAGTACTAGTGATCATTTCTTGTGTGACGGCCGAGGTCGGTCGAGATGCAGTGAAAGTGACCGTTTGATCTTCCTTCGGATCAAGAAACGGGACATGATAATCAAATGGTTCAAACTTTTGATAATGATAATAATGATCGTGATCGTAAGCCTCCATCGTCGAATAAGTGAAATTAGGGTTTTGAACAGCTTGAGGGAGGTTTGTTGCCAGTAAAGTTGAGGGGCCGGACATGGTGGCGTGAGAGAAGGTGAGGAGGAGGAGGACTAAAGACTGAGAGAGAGACTTGATTTGGGACACACTGTGCAAGCTTTTGATCGATCATATGGTATATATATATATATATAATATTCTTGTTTTTTCTAGTCTTTGGCTTGTGAGCTTTCGTGATCACTTTCCTAGCAGAATATATATTGGTTCAACTTGCAGTGCTTGATGTTAAGTTAAGCATACCTTGATGTTAGTAAACATAAGTGCTTGTGTCACTCCATGACGTACGTGAGCTCATGTGAGAATGTTCATCAGTAGCTTCCTTGTTTGGTATATATCACTTTACACCTATATGCATGTATTATTAAATAGTATATTGGAAAAAATAATAATAATAATAGTTTTCAATGAAATATTCTTAATTTATGGTATACGGCTGAAATTACCATTGGGTTCAATATTATCTTATTAGAGTCCCAAATTAGGGGCAAACATGTCTTTTCACATGTTTTTAACGGAGCCAGTAACCAAAAAGCAAAATTGGACCTAACTGATAGTTATTGTCGTTGTCGAAAGATATTTTAAACTTATATTTGATCAAATTACTAGGAGTGTTAGTAAAATTATTCCTAATTTTAAAAGGAGATTCTCTCTTTTTATTTTGAGATTGCGCGCATGACAAGTTAATAGATCATTGTCTCTTCTTTTTAGTGCTCAACTTAAAAGGATAACATTTAATATTATACCTTTTTTATATTGTGAGGAACAAAGTTTTTAATTTTTTTGGCGAAGAAAGAAATATAAAGAAATGATAACATTTTATGAAAATTAGTGAAAATTATTTATTGGGAAAAAAGAAACAATGGAAATAAAAGAAAGAAAATAATTGTTTTATTTTGTGAATACTAGAGTAGGATATAAATTTATTTGTTTTAAAGGGGAAAAAAAAGAACAAAATAAGTAATCATTAGCTCTCCTATCAATTTTATTGAAATTCTAGCACTTGTTCGATTGACAGGAAGGAAGCAACTAAAGGGTAAAAATGATGGATATATCCATAGAGGGATGATAGTATTCTTTTCTCCTATTAATTTTATTGAAATCCTAGCACTTTAATATTACTTTTTATGTTAGGAGAGAACAAGAAAGGGAGATTGTTAATAGTAGATTTGTCTAATACCATCCCGTTCCATATTAGTTGCCAATTTATAATCTTTGACTTATTATTACCTTTTATTTTTGAGTCATTTAAGGTCATTTTTAGTCATATTCCTTTTATATACTTAATTATATATTATATATATCCCATATTAGATATCTATTTTGATAACTTTGACTCACAAAAATTATGAGCCAAAGTTGTGATTATTAAGGATCAATGGAAGGAGAACAATATCCCTCCTCATCCTTATTTACCGAAAAAAAAAAGAAAAAAAAAAAGAAGAAGAAGAAGATACCCTAAAACACCTCTAAAGTATGCTTTCAGCGCATATCACACTCCTTATGTGCAAAAAATATCCCTAAAGTTTCAATTTGGTATAAATAGGTCCCTCTGACAAATTTAAACTCTAAGTTGACTAAATTATCCTTACTGAACCATTTTATAAAATATATAAAAATATATAATTTTGTAAAATGATCGAAAATATCACTATTGAAGGTCACCACTCACATGCAAAAAGCATCCCTAAAGTTTTTATTTGGTGCAAATAGGTTACTTTGACTAAATTACCCTTACTGAACCATTTTATAAAATATATAAAAATAAATAATTTTGTAAAATGATCGAAAATAACACTATTGGAGGACGCCGACAATGACAAGTAAATATAAAAATAAAAAATAAAAATAAAAGTATAAAGAAAAGTAAAAATAGAAATAGAAAAAAAAAAAAAAAACGAAAATAAAGTGCAAACTAAAGAAAACTAATATGTTTCAAACTCCGAAAATCAGTGCACATTGATATTGAATTTTTTTTTTTTTTTTTTTTTGGTGTGTGTGTTTAACAGTGTTGGTACGAAAAAAAAAAATTAAATAAAGAAGAAAAAAAATTAATAGAAAATAGTAAACTGGAATCTCAAAAAATTCAAATCCTTATTCTACAAATTCTCAAAATTAAAAAAAAAAAAAATTTAAAGATATATATAGAGAAAAAATCTTCAAAAAAATGTATATATATATATATATATATATAAAAGCTAATGTGCACATAACACCCCTGTATTATGCGATTGGTAGCATATATACCCCTTAGGCATTTTTCGAAGAGTAAAAGGGCAAAACAGGTATTACAACACTAATTTACATCATATTTTTTATTGAGGAGTATTTTTGCTTAATGTAAAAAGATTAGGAGTGTTTTTTGCACATTTTTTCAAATAGGGGCTAAAAGTATGCCAAGTATACTTTAGAAGTGTTTTTCTGCACTTATCCATTTTGACCAAAAAATTTTTATAAAATTTCTGAAATATATTTCTTTTTTTTAATAAATAAAAAATAAAGAAATTAAGAATAAAGAAAAAAACAAAAAATAATAAAAATAAAAAGCAAAAAACAAATAAAATTTTATTTTAGAGTTTTTATAAAAAAAATTTTACAAACCTTTTATTTTATTATTTTTATTTTGTCTGAATAACATTTTTTTCAATCTTGAAATTGAAGAATTGTCTTTATTTGCTCAATTTGGAAAATGTACCGAATTTTTTTTTTATCATCAAATAAGTATTTGCACGTTATGTATACATATAATAGAGAGATTTTTGCACTTTACCCTTAAAATAAGCATGAGATAACTTATATCAATTTATCCGTTATTATTATTATTATTATTATTATTTTCTTCCTCTCTCTCTCTTCAATTTTTCTCAATCCAAACGAGCCTAGAGCCTATGAAAAGATGACAGGTCAAATGGGACAAAAAGTTTCTATAATATTTTATTTGGATGATCAAAGTGAGAAATGTCTAGGAATGCCTCAAATAGAAAGAGAAATGACTAGGAATGCCCCCAAATAGAAACAACTTCTTTATCAAGTGCCTGTTTTATTGGATAGTAATGGAAGAAGGTGGATGGAAATAGTTTAAAAGATATTTATTGACTTGCACGAATAGTTATGTTATTTTCTCACTTCACACATAGGACATGAAAGTGTTTGACTGACAAACCATTGTAACAATGAGCCCATGTGACCATGGAGGAACCTTCGTTTGACCAAAATGGCTGCTAACATGGTAGTGCCTGTCATTTTATTAGCAATTTAAGCCGATAATGAGTGAACCTTCTTGAATTTGTAGAAATGGCTGACAATTATACAACTAATAGAGAAAGGAAAAGGTAGGTACCATGATTCTACTCTTAGTTGTTCACGTGGATGTCAATTTAAGGGGCCTCATTCTTATTGGAACAAGTTTGAGATTATTTTAATATGTTTATGAACTGATTTTAAATGATTTTAAATTTTATGATAATTTGAAATTTTAGCAACTCTTTTGTTATAATGATTGCTAATTATTATATTTATTTTATAAATTTATTTTAAATTTGATTAAGATTGAATTGTTTTTTATAAAAATAAATAAATAAATAAATAAATATATATATATATATATATATATATATATATATATATATATATATATACTGGAAGGCCTGAATCCGCCCCGACTCTGATAAGACTTGAAAAAAAAAATTAAAAAATGACAGACTACTTTGAAAAAACATTCATCATGTTTAAATTTTGAACAAATATCACCCCTATATACTTTTTGGGTATATAAGTCCGAGCTTGAGCTTAGTGCTTGGTTACAAATTTAGCTGTAGAATGACGTTTCAGTCTTTTCAGCATTCAGATCTTATTTGCTCAAAAATTGAATGTTAGTAGGAATTTATTAGAAAAGTGCGAATTCGAACTAGACTATTACACTACATCCACGTATAGAAAATTATACACTCTATATACGTATCATTATCATATTTTTTTGTTTGCACCCAAAAATGAATTTGGAATAGGGGGCTCGATCTGTCGTGAACCTGTCCCATTGATATCACTAGTCATCAAGTGCACTTGACACGTCACATTTTTCATTCAACAGTGAAGGTGGGAACACAAAAATATTCAAGTCTCTGGTATGATTTGCCAGTAAAAGCTCTCCATTATGGGGTCACTAAACTTGAAAATTAGCTGGGTCCCATTAATCACCATAAAGTTTATTTGACCTAGTTTTGAATTCAGTCAGAGGAGGAAGGTGGAAGGAACATTGCTCGAAGTTAGGTTAGTTCAGTAAGACTGTCCATAGCCACTGGTTCAATCTCTGGGTACCAATTCATGACACTAAAAGGCATCGTCAAATGGCTTTACTTTCTCCTTTCGTGTGTTAGTTCTTAGAAGGTCCCAGGAATTTAAGGTGACATATATGTCAAATCACTCATTGAACTTTCAAAGAGCATGTTCAATAGACTTGAATTTTCTAAGTCCTAGCTTGGCCTGATTCTGCTTGCGACCCTTTTCCCATCTTTGGTTTTAAATTGGCTCGATAGATATTATCCGTTTTACACCTTTCTATACCGTGACGTACAAAATGACGCAATGAAGCGAATAATTACCTAATATTTTGATTTGACCTGAAGAGATTGATTAGCTACCAAACAAGCACATGACTCTTTGTTCTACCAACTCGTCCTGTCAACATGGTGGCACGGTGTATTGTGCTTGTAATGCTTTGTGGGCTTAGAGACCTTTGGCTAGGACTGATAGGGGTGTGGGGGCAGGGATTGGTCCCAGATGCTCTGTGCAAGGGTTCATCCTCAACCCTAATTTTTTTTTTATGTCAGTGTTTTGACCTTGATCCAAATGCCTAATTTTAGTATAAACAATTAGTATATTATCCAATATGCCTTTGACCTAGCGGAATAATCTTCATATTCCTAAAGAGGAGATGGATTTGAGTCCGAACGTGGACAAAAGGGTATGTGTGTGTTTGTTTTACCATTTCAAAAAAAAAAAAAAAAAAAAAAAATTTACATTGTCTCGTCAGATTTCCTAAAATATCTATATGTTAAATACATAATGAGCATTTCAAAATTAATTTATTATATTTCATATAATATCCATATGCATTTCAATTTTTTATAGTAAGTGGTCAGAGTTCCTAAAATTGCTCAATGAAGGTACATGATTTACACTCTGTCGGTGGAACTTGGAACTAAGTTTGTGGAGTAATATATGAATGTGTGATATTTTGTTCAAATGATATTGTGGTTGAAAATTATTTTGAGTGGTATATATTTGTTCATACATATATTTTTATGAACAAATGATCCATTATATCATAGATCAACTTGTAATTATAAATGTGTTGTGTTGTTATTATAATTGTACTATTAATATATACATACATCAAAAGGACCATGTGAACAAATTAAACATAAAAATATAATTAAAAATGTATATATATTTTAATGAACAAATAATCCATCGTATCATGATCAACTTATAATCACATATATTTTATTTGCATACAAATTGCATACAAATTTTAAAAAAAATAAGTATAATTTGATAAATAAGAGAAAAGGTTGGTACGTATTAACAAAATTAGGGTTAGTGTAACTTACCATTGAAATTTTGAATTGTGACTTTAAAATTATAAAAATCTAAATAAAAAAGAAATTAAAGATTTTTGTGTGATAAGTTTCGACTTTTGACTATTTGTTAAACAGAATAAAAACTTTTCTCCCCTTCTTTATTTTCTTTTTATTTACTAAAAATAAATAGTTTGACTTTGTATTCCAAAAAGCAGTGCTTTACCAAATAAACATTCAACCCAGTCCAAAGCAACTATCCAATGTTAATTTGACAAACCAAATAGATTTTAAGTTTCTTGTTTAGTTATTGAATCTCACCCATCTCATTCCTAACGCATTTCATAATTTTCATTATAAATTTTAATATATAATATCTATATGTTAAATACACAATATGCATTACCTAGGTGCACCCGATTATGATGCCAATGGTTCCTAAAAATTAGAATTAGAATCGGAACCGTTAGGACGTAGAATCGAAACCAAACCAAATCGGTTCCATAGTTTGGATTCCTTATTTCCGGTACGAGTAAAATAGACTACTAGTTTAGTGAGACCCTTAATAAATTAACAGTGTCTTATTCTATTTTTATTTTTAGTTTTATTTTTATTTTTGAGGAGGTCTTTTAAATTTAATTCAGCTTAATCCATTTTCACGGTTTGGTTCTAGGGTCCAACCGTGTCGATTCCAACCAATATTTTGGAAATTGCTGGGATCATTTTGATTCCAACTCAACCTAGAACCATACATAACCAAATTGTTTGCAACCCTAACTTTTCAGTTAAAGGGGTTCTAAAGTATATTAATTACAGTTTGCTAATTATTTATTATTATTATTTGGTTTGGCTGTTAATTAATGCCAATATTAATGAGTTAACATCATATATTCATTAAATTATTATAACTATATTTAGTAGGCTGTTTTTTTTCTTTCGTTTTTTTTTTCTCTTTCCTATTAGGCTGTTGATTAATGCCAATATTAATGGATTTTTTTTCCGGATTTAGCATACCATAGAGTCATTAAAATTTGAAACATTGTGCAAACCGCAATTTAAATAAAGTGAGAACACCAATTGGACAGCTCGTAGTATGGTTGTTCTATTCCTCGGTCCCCAAATTATGAATGATTTGAGAGAGTTCTAGAGAGAGAGAATCGAAATTGGCGCCCCTTTTTCTCTCTGTTTGTTTCTCTCTCTAACTTCTCGACACAGATTCGTAAAAGCTTCTCTACTTTTATCTCTCTCTCTCGCCATGTCAGTGCGTAGGCGAACCTTGCTCAAGGTCATCGTTCTCGGCGACAGTGGGTACGATCAATAGTTCGAATTTCGTTCTTCTTGATTTGTTAATTTATCATTTAATCTGAATTTGCTTTTGTATTTTTTTGTGGTAATTGTCAGGGTTGGTAAGACGTCATTGATGAATCAGTATCCTCCAACTAACAAATTGATTTGTGAGATCTGTAATTCTTTGTATATATATTTATATTCCCGAACAATTGGAGATCGCAGTTTCTACTTTATATAGTTCAATGAAATTCTACACATTGTTGAATTTTCGGATTAGGTTGTTTTCTTGGATTCTGTTTGTTCCTGATCCAATATAAGGCAATGTTTTGTTGCAGAACCAATTTATTTTTTATTCTTGCCATGTTTGCTATTGAGAGTGCAAAATTGCTCTCTTTTTTGTCTTCTTTTTCAGTCTATTTTCTTTGTAATCTTAGCAGTAGTATTTTCAAAAGAGTAATGTTATTTAGACCTATTTGTGCAGCAGAAAAGTGTAAACAAAGGAGTTTTTATCCCTTTGATGTAGACTGTAGTGGATAAGCTCAAGTGTGGTTCATTCACTACATCTTGTCCACTACATCGAAGGGATAGAAACCCTTAACCTATACAAGTAGGTTTGAGAAATCAGTTTAAGAATCATTTTCCTTTTCGATATCCCAACTAACAGTATCTGAGCTTATTGTGGTTATAATTATTGTTGGGTTATGTTTTTTGTTTCATATTTGTGGGTCGTTAACAATATATGTAGATATGTACACAAGAAGTTCAGTCAGCAATATAAGGCTACAATTGGAGCTGATTTTCTCACCAAGGAGCTACAAATTGATGACAGGCTTGTCACTCTACAAGTGGGTTCTTAGCTTTACATTTATTTATTTATTTATTTTTATGGGTTAATTGCATGGTTTCACTAGAGCAGCTGGTTATAGCTCAGGCTGAGTTTGAGAATTTGGGTTTGAGTATGAGGGCAGCCCCTTGTGCAAATAATGCCAAAGGTTAGTTATGTACCTAATTCACCCTTCTCGGTGAATGGACCCAACATTGGATAATGGCCTATTTTTATGTGGTTTATTTAGAGCTTTATAGACAGTTAATCTTTTGCAGAGTGTTCTATAATATTGTATGTTTTGCATTGGTAGATATGGGATACAGCTGGGCAGGAGAGATTTCAGAGTCTTGGCGTTGCATTTTATAGAGGGGCAGATTGCTGTGTTTTAGTGTACGATGTTAATGTCATGAGGTCTTTTGATACTCTTGACAATTGGCACGAAGAATTTCTCAAGCAGGTAGGTGATATATTTTGCTCCATCACCTTTGTTGTTGTTATTATTATTATTATTTAATTTTTGGGGTAGCTAAGATGCAATAATGGATATAAGAAATTCTTATACTACTAATGTGGGACATGCCTCCCTGAACTGGTTTTTCTAAAGTCATAAAACCAGTTCCATCAGACAGCACTATTAGAGCAGAACACCATTACAATGAGACATAGGGATAACAATAACCAGACTCTTTTTCCTCAAGCCTGATCACCCTATAATCCCATACTGATTCGTTACAATGCCACTGTGCCCATCTGGGGGATTCCTAAATCGCTGCAAAAACTATTTTAAGCAAAAGAAGCAATGTTGATTATACAAAATTTCTTGAATTAAACTACAAATAACATTTTTTACAGAGAGGATATAGATGCAGCTAAGCACAACCAAACAATGATACTCAATAACCACTTCCTCTTTAAAGAAAAAAAACAAGCTAATCTACTGTATTTTCCCAGTCTTTTTGAGACCAACTGACCTGGAAGAGCATGTGTTTATATATATATATATATTTATGGTCCAGTTGTTGTATTAGCCACTTTCTCTCCACTCCTCTCCTCTCTGTCTCTCCCTCTCTAGTTATCATCTTATCAAAGGCTGAGGTGCGGATGAACTTGCACACTGTGTCTAAGTTACAATAAATCCATATATTTTGGCATAACAATGCTGCCAATGCATATCGAGTTGTTTTTGGTGGGCATCTAATTTCAGTTGTAAAAATGGAGTCAGTTTGTGTTTATTTTGGTTTGAAGCACTCGGTTCACTTATTTCTTTGGTGTGTAAAAGAACTTTTCTGTAGCAATTGCTTTTGAACAATGTGAGAGAGAGTAAAAATTTTATAGTATAATAGGAAAAGGAACCATATACCTTTTGATGACATGTCTCTGGTGGAGATCGTAACTTATCCCTTTTTGCCTTGTGTCACTGAGAGCAACTTAATTAGCTCTCTAAATTCTATTCTTTTTTCATCTTATTGGTGTATTCTTTTATGTATTTTTTTACGTGCTTAAATTGTTTTTACTATACCTCTTACCCATGAAAAGGGTGTCAAAGGTACTTTATAAAAGTGATCTCATTAAGGTAGTTGTTCTTCATGTCTGATAGCTGCAACATTGTTGGTGTCTACAAAAAGTTCAATCAATAGATATACCAGCTACACTTTGATTTATTGAAATTAAAATGTTTCTTTTTTAAATCATAATGTTTCAAATGCCCATGAGAATGCAAAATTAAATTAAACATTTATTGAAGAAAGGTCATTTTGATGCTTTTTGCCTTTTTGTTTTAATGGAAGGTCCTTGATTTTTCTTTGTAATTTTAGGTGGCCCTCAAGAGCTACCGTCTTTATCTGGTTTACCTTTTGAATATTCTTATTTTAATATTGAATGAATCATATACAGAGCATGGAAACAACAGAAGGGGTATATTGATAATTTCATATGTAGAGCTGTTTGCATCGCTTCTATTATATTTGGGTTGGATTCAAGTCTTTATTTTTGTTTGTTGTTGACTGGATCTATTTATATTTTCTTATGTTTTGGGAGCCGATGATATTTTATAATTCCTGAATTCATTGGAAGTGATGGTTTGTAGATTTTATTTTGGCCCAGTTATATTTGGTCTTTATATTTAGTTTATACCAGTCCTATAATGGTCATAGTTTTTGAAATTTTCACCCATCTTTCATGGAACCCCAATCTTCTTAGCATTTCCTCCCAAAAAAAAGTCCAATCTACCCTCATGGTATTCAATAGTAATCATCTGACTTAGTATTGGTAAGCTTGCTTGCTTGCTTTTAATTCCCGTATTAATCACGTGCTATTCACATTAATGACTGTTATTGGTAAGCTTGCTTGCATTTTTAGAGCAATAGTCCTCGTGACATATGAAGGTTTAAAATAAGGCTGTTAAACAATGTAACAGCCATTAGTGACAGTATTGCTGCGAGTCAATCCCATTATTGACCCTTTTAAATTTCACAGCTGGTCTAGGGATACAAAAAGAAGGAAGACAAGATCAGAAAAGTTAATTCTTAGTGTTAACATGATTTCATTATGTTGCAGGCAAACCCAACTGACCCCAAGATTTTTCCATTTATATTAGTTGGAAACAAGATTGATATTGATGGTGGAAATAGCCGAGTGGTAAGGAGTTACAGTTGCAATGCTGTCTAAATTCTGGTGTTTATTACTCTACATTTGGCTCTAATTTTTATGTACAGGTTTCTGAGAAGAAAGCGAGGGATTGGTGTGCTTCAAAAGGGAACATACCTTACTTTGAGACATCTGCAAAAGAGGATTACAATGTTGATGCTGCATTCCTTTGTATCGCCAAGACTGCTTTAGCCAATGAGCATGAGCAGGATATGTAAGTTTCTGATTTTTTTCTTCCAAGCATGCTTGCTTAAGGAGTTGGTGCTGTTCTGAAATGCCTTGATCCTTAGAATTTGAACAGGGATTTCATTAAGCATAAATTTCATGAACCTAGGCATAGTGAAAGGCTCACATGTGCGTCTTTGGCAAGGCTTTGAGGCTTATGGTTCATGTTTATTTTGTTATTTTGTTTTATGTATTTTATTTAGCTATTTTTAAGTTTTATTTAAGCTCACATTTCGATTTTACTATATTTTGGTGTTAACTTGGACAATCTTCTTATAATTTATTGAGAGATCATCTACAATCAGCTTTTCTTGTTAAAAAATGCCGGTATGCTTATAGAAGGAAGGAATTTCTCTATATATATTGTTTATATTTTTGGTAGTTCTTTCATTATTTTTACCTTCTCTGTTATTGTTATATATTGTAAATGCAAAACTGAAATTTTGCAATGTTGTTGCCCAACACCTTGAGGTTTACGTTTAAACTCTCATAGAGTAAAAGGTGTGCCCTGATGCCTTTTATTTTATAGAACACCACTAGTGTTTACAACATATTTTGTTTTTATTATACTATTCATTTATTTTCTCTATGAGTTCCTCCTCTGATTTTCTTTGAATTATTCTTGGTTGCCCCCGATTAAGTCTTCCTCCTTTTCGATTGTTTAGCATGACAAATAAATCATGAATAACAAATTTGTTGCTATGCAACTAAGCCCCTTCAGTTATGTGATTTGGAGGGCCACAGGCCTAGAAGGTACAAAAGATGTAACTGAATCGAAATGAGCAAGCATGGGCTGACTGATGAATTATTTCAAGTAAGGGTTGGTTGAAGTGGTAAGGGTACATGTACAAGTAATAAAGGGGCATGATGATGTATGTTTTATTTTTTTATTTTTCTGTTTTGGGCAATTAAGCCATACACACTTGCTAATATGCTCCATTAGGGACTTGTACCCTAAATCTTCCAAATGACTTGAACCCTCAGCCTTCTATTTGGAAGGAGATACCACTTGGGCTAATCTCTTGGCGGTACATGTTAGGTTCTCATCATGGTGCCAGCATTCATACTTATTCTTATGAACATCATTTGGGCAGAGGGACTTGCGGTAGCATGCAATTAGTTGCAATGATACATTGATAAATTAGAAATGATCCATTTTTATATGATATTGATGACTATTACTGGACAGAATGTTCGTTGAAAATAGTTTAGTTATGTGATTGTTTTGGTGATTCTTGTTCTGTAATAAAGTTTAGAAACTGCCGTAATTTATTTAAGTTTATTTTGATGCTAAAAATAAAAAGTAGAAGTAAAAAGATTGATGATGATGGGAACTAGTACAATGAGTTCCATGGGGAGTTGAAATTAATCCCATATGCCCTTTTTCTTTTCTTCTTCTTCTTTTTCCAAACATAATAATTCAACATAATAGCCTTTTTTGGAATAACTATTCCTTTCACTTAGTTCTATGTTATTAAAAACTTTTGGTTCCTATTGAATTCTCTTTCCTTTGCCGTACTATGAAGTTTTACAGCCTGTAACATGCTCAAATTTTGGCTCTACTAATTTCTTTTTAAATTTCAAATTTCAGATATTTTCAGGGCATCCCGGAGGCAGTTTCAGAAACAGAGCAAGGGGGCGGCTGTGCATGTTAAGTTGGAAATAGCAAATGATTTGACAGATTCATCTTCAACTCTTTGGTTTCCTAACTTTCAGCTTTTCTTTTTCCTGTTGTGATTCCAAGCAATTTTTTTGGTATTGATTGTACATTTAGCTCTCTCAATTTTTTTGGCACTTGAGAAGATGGTAGGGTGGTTTTGTCAATTTAAGATTCTTTGAGTTGTAGAGACTTGAATTAGGAAGGAATGCTGTGTACTGTTTCTAGTTGTGAGATGGGTTGGAATTTCAAGCTTTTAATGCATTTCTGCATTGTTTTTGTTTGATTACAAGATGTATGGATATATGGAATTTAATTACTTTCTTGGTAAAAATAGTACTACCTTGGTTGATGTATATTTCTTGTTTGGTACAATCCACTGAAAGTGGAAAAGATAAAAGTGAAGCACTTCTGAAACTTTCATGATCAAGTCTGTTGATCATGGAAATTTCACTTTTGCTCTGACTTGTATCTATGGTACAGGTCACTTGAATCGGGCAAAGGGCATGGTGGGGTTATTTGTGTGGATTCCAACTTCCATTATACCTTGAGTTTGAGTCGATATAAATTGATTTTACTGTGTGTGTCACTATTTTCATATATATATATAAAAATTAAGGCAATGACATTTCAGGAAGGTGTTCCCCTATCGTACATGGTTCAATGATCAAGATGTAACCAAAGACGTTGATGGTACTTTTTCACCTTTATCCTATGCTTGGTTGGAGGGACGGATTGAGATGGGATGGGAGAGTGGATAAAACAATTTTTAGGTATTTGATTGGAGGGAAGGGAAAAGAGGGAGGAAGTAAGGAAGGAAGAACATCTATTATTTCTTTCTATTTTTCAATCCGTCCAAAATTGGGAGAAAGAAGAGGGAGAACGAAATAAAATTAACAAAAACATGTATTTTTCATTTCTAACCTTCCTACAAACTTGGAATGGATATATAATTTTTATAATTTTAAAATATTAAGGGTATATTGGTAAAAAGAATATAAAAAACCTATTTTCCTTCCAACCAAATAAAAAAAAATGTACCATCACATCCATCATTTTTATTATCCATTTCATCTGACCAAACAAAATTTGAAGGACACATCTTCTCTTCTTTAGGAATGTCTTATCTATTCTTTCTCTTCTCATTTTCACCTATTTTTTCATCCCTCCAACCAAACGGAGTATTAAAGTTGAGAATTTAAATCATCAAATAGGCTAAATGGGTGTGTAAGTGTGTTTCTTATTAACAATAATTATTTATTATTTATTTACATGTAGCATGCTATGTCAAACTTGTGGGTTGGTTAAAAGACCTTCCTCTTAATTTTTCTGTATAAAAATTGGGTTTGTTCAATAATTTTCCAATTTGAAGGTAATTGGGAAATAAAATAAAATAAAAACTGTAATTCAGTCTAGAAGAGTAGACTTTTTCCATTGACTCAAAAGTTTAAAGTATTAGACAGTGTTGCATACGCATTTATACTCAATTTATTTGTTATTCGGATCCGATGTGGGATTCAGCCCTACACAAAGCTACAACCCGGACACTTCAGAGTCGGGTGCTTGATGTGACACAAATAAAGAATTAAGTCCGACACTAAATCTGACTCAATTTATTTTTTATTCGAATCCGATGTGGGATACAGCCCTACACAAGACTACAACCGGACACTTCAGAGTCGGGTGCTTGATGTGACACAAATAAAAAATTAAGTCCGACACTGAATCTGACTCTTGTACCAACAGTAATGGAAATACTAATTCACTAATCAAAAAACTTAAATTGTTATAATACTCGTGCCCATCCACTAATACCCGTTTCACTTCTCAATTCAAATCCGACCCTTTGTCTTCTGTAACTAAGAATGCTACAGCACGACGTCGTACTGTTCCGTCCTTGTTTAAATGACTAGTCAAAACGTGGAGTCGTGGAGATGGCGTTTCCACAATTTTCGTCTCTCGCGCTGTTCCTTCCTTTCCTCATCTTCTTCAGGCACAAACACACGCACAAAAACACACAGAGCGATGGCTATATCGTTGGCAGTGGCCTTGAGAACTCTATTCTGCGCACTGGGATGTGTGATGTTGGCCACTCTTGTTTACACTATCTGCGTTGATGGCCTTCCTTTTCGTAAAAGCCTTCTTACCCCGTATGCTCTCTCTCTCTCCACACACTCGATATATATATATATATATATATATATCATAGCTAATGAAACATTGTGAACGACTATCTATGAGTTTGAATTTTCTGGAATTGTAGTTTGTAAACTAATTTTGAGACACAACTGATGAATACAAACAGTTTAACCCCACTATGTAATCAATTTATTCTCATATGAATATGTATCGACTTAAATTTCTTCTTCCATAGACCTAACAACCTAACATGTTTTGGTTAATTCCAAGTTTTATCCTTATTAGCTTGTATATTAATTGCTCCCTAGAAAAATGAGAGTCATTGATGAAAATTGTTCTCGTCATCAATCCACAAAACCCAATAATTTTGGCATGTTTAATAGGACCAATAGGCAATAGGTAGACAACCGACTGTAAAACCTATTTTCAAAAAAATTTGATGAATTCTCACTCAAATCTTGGAGAGAGAGAATTCATGTGGGATTAAGGCAATAATGACGATGATGAGGACCTTGGCATCCTAGGGGCCAGGGGGTACTCCCCTTAGGTCTCCGGTTTGAGATTCACCAAACGTGAGGCTTGGACTTAAATTTGGTTTGTGGACAATTGTATACATCCGAAGTTTTCAAACCATCTGAGTGTCCAAAGGGCTAGCGGATGGGGTGATTCTTCGTTAACAAAGAAAATAGGACCTTGCATCCTGGAGAATAGTTAATCATGTCTAAAAAAGGTATGAGTAAATAGAGTGTCTTGATCATGAAATTGAAGATTCACCCAAACAGTTTTTGAAAAAAAAAAAAAAAAACTTTATTTTTTAAGCTGTAGCTGTCTTTGAAGTTCAAGTGAAATATTGAAAACCATTTAACTTTAGAAAGTATAGTATAATTAGGTAGTGAAAGTTCAGAGGAGTGGCAAACAAGCAAGATTTTAATCCATTGAAGTTGAAGTTTCAACTTAATTGTTTTTTGTTTAAGTAAACAATTGATCTCTATTGTATTAAGTAAGGGAATGGAGAATTCTGATCTAGAAATGAGGATGAACTATAGGACAATTACACTGTTCTGTTTGACAATATAATAAATTGCTTTGAGGCGAGTTATATAATTCATGTTATGGTCTCAAGAAGCTTCACAACAATTATTAAGGTACATAGGATTGGTTTTCGTGTAGAATAAAAGTTCATGATGCATTCAACTCAGCTCGAGTCAGCCTAAAAGAATTTAAGTCACTAGAGAAGCCTTAAACAGACTCACGAGAGGATGAGACATTGCTTAATTAGACACCACAATACTGCCAGTAACCCACCGTCGCTTATGATGTAGCCATTACCTGCTACACCAGTTGCAGCTTGCAGAACTGTGGAACATAATACCTGTCTTGTCAATAATACTGTTGTTAACTTCCAGTACTATAAATTAGTTCAAAGAATGAAACACTATTTACTAAAGTGATGTTTTTGGAATTTGTCGCAGGTGGATGACAGCAACACTTGTTGATTTCTATATCAATATTGTAGCATTGGGGGTATGAGAGCATATTTAATATTACTGCTAAGATCAGTAGATGACTACACATTCACAATTGCCTTTTATTTAACAGCAAAAAAAAGAAAAGAAAAAAGAGAGGCTATATTAAATTAATTTACCACTAAATCTTCAAAATGTGAATTTTTACTTTGTTGGAAAAGTAGTCAAAATAAACTTTTGTTGTAAGTTCTATCATTTAGAATGTTTCTTCCTCTTCGCATATGGGTGTCTTAACTGAAAATTTTGGGATTTATGAAAGTTTATATCTTAATTAGTGCATTTGGCAGCAATTAAAACTAAATTGATTTTGGCTTCTAATTATGTCATATACACACTCTTGCAGTTTTGTGTTTGAATGTGGAAGTTTTTTGCACATACGTGGGAGAATAACCAGTGAGAACATGATGGGGCCAAACTTTTTTGCCTTCCTTTATACTATTATATTGGTTTCCTGTGAAGATATGTCCAATGATCATATTTCCTCCTAGTTTCTTCATTAGTTCTGTCCTATCTAGTAATGTTGTATTTTAAGCATGTTTATAATCGGAAGCCTATCTTTTATTTATTTATTTGAAGTTGATAGCTTTCCCTTTTTCTTATAAAGACTATATTTTTCACCTATATATGTATGCTTGTCATATCAGGTTTGGGTTTCCTACAAAGAATCTAGCTGGATTAGTGCAATACTTTGGGTGGCTCTGTTAGTATGTTTCGGAAGGTGTGCTTCTTATTGTTCCTTTTCTTGTGATTCCTATGTTCATCATCATTAAGGTCTGACATGCTGAGAGATTTCATGAATGTAATGTTGAAATAGAGTCTGCCTTTACTTGTTTTTCTAGAAATAAACTCTAAGCATCTAATTATTCTCAGTCACCAACTGAATTCTGAGCTCCTAATAAAAGATTCTTTTTAAAAACAAAATAAATGTATTGTGTTGTCATTGAAAGAAGGTCATTTTTCATATATCCCAGTTAGTTATCTTCCCTAGATGTTTTTGCATGATATTAACATTTTGACATATGTTATATGATTGATCTCCCCCTTTCTTTTTACAGCATCACTACATGTGGGTACATTGTTTTGCAATTCCTTAAGCTGTCATCTCAAGAATCTTCAAATGATCCAATGTTCTATGTTCTATTAGGACGTCGCAGCAAGTAAGTGTGGAAAACTTGATGTAATTATGCAAAAATATATTTTGTTAGCGGTTATTCAAAGGGGTCATTGCTTGGTGCGATGGTAAAGCTTTGAGACCACAAGCACGAGCAAGTTCAAGTCTCAGTACAGCCACTTTTTGCAAAATAACGCCAAATGATAGGTCTTTCTTCAATCTTCCCCTCCTAGCACACCTCATAGGCGGGTCATACACTAGGTTGTAGATGGTACAATGATTAAAGCTCGGGCTATCAAGTATAAGGACGCGAGTTTGAGTCCAATGTACCACTCTGTACATTACCATGCCTTGCTTTTATTTGTATGCGAGACATATCCACATCTTTACTTAATAATACATTTTTTTTGCATCTTTTTTTTTTTTTTTTTAAATCCAGAATCATTGGGTTATTGAAGGGAAGAAAAGGTGGTAAAATAGTTAATTAAAGGGTTATACCCATGTGGTCCCTGTTAGTCAAGGGTGCTTGAAGGAGTGCTGGTAAAATGGTTGATAGTGCAGTATACTGTGATCTTTTCTTTTTGATGCTATGTGATGCAGGTTCTTGTGTTTTTATGGTTCCTTTATCCTTTTTGGTACTATCCTCATATAACCTGATCTGCTTATACACTGACATATTTTGTCATTTAGGGATGGTGTAGACGGAAAGAAGTTTTCTGTTGTAACTGCAAGAGTTCTTTTCAGTGCTTTGGGTGTTTTAATGTTGGGAACTCTGATTTACACTCTCTTGACGGATGGTTCGCCTTTTCGCAGAGAGCTCTTGACACCGTAAGTCTTTTGCTTCTTGTAAATATACTGTACATTATAATCTCTATATGTGGTGGTTAAAGAGTATGGTCTTGATAGGTTAAAAAAAACAATAATGAGTATGGTCTTGATATGTGGTGGCAGCAATAGTGATTGGGTGGTGGTGGTATAGCAATTGGAGAGACAGTGATGGACGTGTGGGAGCAACGGTCACAATAGCAGGTGGTGGGATGGCTCTTGGGGTTTGGGTGGATGGGGTGCTGAGAAGAGAAGGCGGAATCAAGTTGCAGCTAGCAACTGATTCATGATGGGGAATAGAGGGTGGTATCCAGTAAGTTTTACTTGGTTAACATCATTCTACCTCCTCTAGATGGAGATCTGCTTTTTAGGAATTTATTGGTCTTTCTAAGCCTTTAAGAGCCTGGGCAAAATTTGGAAATACTACCTCTTCTCACCCTACTGGAAACCTCAATATGGAGAAAGGAGATCTTATGATGTGAATCTGTCAGGATCAGATAAGGTATCCAGATGCCTGCTACATATGAGTTATGACCATTCATGGCCTCAAATTAATTTTTAACCCCAAAATCCACTTCATGTATCAAAAGTTGCGTCTGACTTTAACTGTTTGTAGAGTTGTCTACTAGAATCATCATCTGAGGATTAGAAACAAGGAATGCCTGTCCCTCTCAAAACATCCAAAACCCTGAAATAAAAATTTAGTATGAAGGTGTATTGTGTTATCCCATGGTGAGGAAATGCACATTTGTAAAATTTTGGAATCAAAAGCTTAAATTATTGAAGGACTTGGGTATCTCTATTATCGTTGTATGATACTTATTGCCCAGTCATAATAACAAATGTTCTCTAGGATTATTTAATTGGGCATTTGCTCATGGGTGGGAATCTCTAACTTTGTGATGTTAAAAGCATATGCTTTTCTATTTTTTGTGTAAGCATGTGCATATTCTTCATCTAAATTGGTTTAAAAATCTCTTGCTTGCTCACAAATGCAAATGGACGGCTTTCTGGAAACATGTCAGATCACACATCCAGACATGTATAAGTGTAGGAGAATTCATCTTAGCCACAGTAGTGACCCTTTCATCCCACTCCAAAATCTAGTTGAAAGCACCCCCTCAACCTACTTCTTTTTGTGTACCTTAAAACCCACTTACCCATCTTTTGAGCTTCTTGCCATTGCTTCTTCCATTCTCATAGGAAGCAAGTTTTGTAGGTATCGCCTCTGCATCAGTGTGTGTGCATGGTGAGGGAGCCTTCTTGCCACTGCCTTTAAAATCTATATTTGCAGTTACACATTTATGTACAATGTGAATTTAAGTAGCTAAGATCTTTGCAGGTGGATGACAGCAACACTAATTGACTTCTACATAAATGTTGTGGCTCTATCGGTATGTCTCAATTCTCAGATACTTCATCTTGCATTTCCTTTGCTACTTGAAGATCAACCTATTTTACCTCCTTTAATCTGTAAGAAAAAGAATATTAACGAATTAAACCTTAGCAGTATTTCTTTTCAAAAGCTTCCATATAATCTTAGTTATCTAAGAATATGATCATCTTCTGTGTAAATTCTTAATAAACTTGCAACATCTAGTCCCAAATTGGGACTATATTGTGTGCACGACTTACCTTCCAAAAAAAAATGCAACCTCTGCTTTAACTTTTTGGATGTACGTAACAGGAGCAAGAATGTAATTAGTCCATATGTGTGTGTGTGTGTATATACAAACGATTCATATTTCTATCTTCTGTAGCTAACAAAAAGATGGTAAATCCACAGTATGCTCATTCTCAGGCAGACTTTCAGAACATTTTGTATATGGTTGGCTGTACTATGAAAAGTATGTCTTCGTTTGATTCTTTGTATCTTTTTCTCTTTTGTATGTGATATCAGGTTTGGGTAGCATACAAAGAATCAAGTTGGGTGAGCGCACTCGTTTGGATAGCTTTATTGATATGTTTTGGCAGGTAAATTTTCCTTCTTGATTTAGTATATCTGCCATTATGCAATTCAACTGATTTGTTATTATATAGTTTTTGATAGTTATAATTTCAGAAAGCAAAAATTGCTGTAGAGTTTGTCTTTTTTAGTTTTCTTTTATAGGATCTACATAGCCATGGAACCTTATTGTCTGGCTGGCCTTATATGCGACAATATGTATCTGTTATGAACACAAAATGCTGCATTTACATCACTTAGGCTCCATTTGTTTCAACGTAAAATATTCTTTTAGGAAAATATTTTTCTTTTTCAGGTAAAATATTCTTTTATTTTTACTTTGTCGGTGTTTGGCAAAGGTCTACGTCGAGGTTGAGGTCGAGTCCATCGGGCGGGGCATGTAAAATAACTTGCCGAAAATTTATGGATAAATTATTTTTGTTAAATTTTAAATTTTTTTTTTTCTTCATAAATATTTTAAGACAACCAAACTCCAGAAAATAAAAAAATATTTTCTGAAAAATATTTTACGTCCAAACAAGCGAAGCCTTAGTCTCAGTTAATCTTTTTCTTTTTTTTCTTTTTAAAATCAAGTTCCATAGATTATAGATCTATAATTGTTAACCAATATAATTCCAAGTGCAGTTTGGAAGGACAAAACTTAGTTTTCCTTCACAATTCAGGCGATTGCTTGCTGGGGTTTTCACTTCTTAAATTATCAAGACTCTTTGGAGCAATATCAAGACACAACAAATGGAGGAAAGATTGAAACTGTTCTTATTGAATGAAATTCATAATTTCTCAAAGAAGAGTACAATGCAATCTTCCGCAAGGCAGTTCTGACAAATTTGTGAATAGGAAATATCCTTGAGTTTAGACTGCCAAATTGATGTTGTATGCCTTGTAAATTTTAAATAGGAAGAACTCATGCATAGCTATCTGCTACTCGTTACACACATTTTGTGCATCTTATCCTCTTCTTCTCCAAAATTCTCTTCGTATTTAATTCTGCAAGGATTCGAAAGACAAGTCTCACAATAGTAGTCCCTTATGTACATATATGCAAGATGAATAGATGATGCATGTCAAAAAGGATATGTATGTTACCTGTCCATCATGACCTTAGAAACTTAGCAATTATGCTTAAAGAAATCGAAATATTCTCCAGTTATTTGGCAATTGAAGTAATGGATTTTTAGGCTTTGCTCCTCCTTTTGTCTTCCGCTGATAATGCATTTTCATCTTTTCAGCATCACTACTTGTGCCTACATTGTGCTGCAGCTTTTCCAGCTCTCATCTCAAGATCCTGTTTACCTTATTCTATTGAATAGCAGCACGAGGCAAGTCAAACACTTCTTTTCAATTTTAAGTACTGCAGCAGCTGTTAGTAATTCCTAGTCGAACTTTTTGAGAATGAAAATTAAGTTTTCACTTGTTCATCATGTGAACGTTGGCATTTATTGAATGGACTTGGTTAGCAACTTAGCATATCTGGAGAACAGTGAAACTCTTTAGTTTAATGAAATATGGATGAGTGCATAGCTATTTAGTTTGATTTGCCTCATGGTTGCTTTGGAATTCAATTTGATGATCTGGAAAAGAAATCTGAATGTTGGTTGTTATATATACTTCGCTTCAAAATGATTGTTTTAATTAGTAATTGAGTTTAAAATACATTTTGGAATTTGCAAGGGTGATTCAGAGAATCTGAAGTTTGCCACATTCCATGCTTCCTAATGTGTTTTTTTTTTTTCTTCTTTTCTATGAAGCAATACACTATTTCTATTATTTAATGGAGACATATTCTGATCCTGAACCAACCAAATAATTTATACCAAAACATCGTACACTAATTCTATGGAAAGAGAAGGTGCCACTTGCATGTAGAAAAAGAGAAAAACCTGAGAACAGAACAGAGGAACTTCAAGTGGCGATTGTGAATTTTGTACATGTTCCGTGGATCACTGAACTCATAGTTTTATCTTTTAGCATTGAATTTTGTCCCCATAATAATTATAATAAAAAGGAAAAAGAGGTGAACATCATTTTGTTGGGAATTTCAGAAAGAAAAAACTGTGGATAAAGCAGATTGAACTTTTAAAATGAATTTCTCTGGTAGGAGATGAGTACTGGAAAGTGGAAACTCGGTTGAAATCCAAACTTCAGTTGGAACTTGAGGATTTAGCTTATGCAGTGAGGCATGTGGGAAGCTCATCTAAATTTGGAGAATTTAGAACTGTTCAAATCATCTAACAAAAGGGTGGGTTTAAACAAGGGAAGTTCGGTTGAAGTGGCCAAAAATAATGAGAATAGGAAGGCTGGATTTGTTCCAACACCCACTTCCCTGAGATATCGGAAAAGCAGCTAGTATGGTTCTGGAACTGCAATTTGACCACTTTGTTCATTTCTATTAATGAACTCTTGTTTGCAACTACAAGCTCCCTCAGAACTAAAATAATCAAGCTCATGCTTGGCTACTGGATTTCTTTGACTTCCCAAATTGTTTTTGAGTAATTCCTATTGGAGGCTGAAATTCAAGTCTTATGTAATGCTGTATTTATGTGTGGAAATTTGTGTAAAATCTATGAACTTCCAATTGATGTGTAAAAATCCGGCTAAATCTCAATGAAGTTTAAATAGAATTTTGTGGGGAAGCTCAAGCAGAAGTAGGAAAACGATATGGTGAGACAAATATCTGAAACAGAACATCTTGACAAGAGTAAATAAGAATTACGTTTAATGGTCCGTCTAAGTGTAGTTATAATCATATAGTAGCTGCAGCAACAGTACCAGTAGTTATAGTACTGTCATAGTCACACAGGTAATAAATAGGCCTTCCAAAGTCTCAGTTAAACCAATGTTTGGCTCAGAACATGACGACTTGAAATGTCACTGGGTTGACTTGGCTTTAAAAATTATGAGATGATCTACTGTATATATTTAGTGTTAAGAATAAGATTTAAACTTAAATATCAAGCATCAAATACGAAATTTATGATTTTTTTTTTTTTTTAAAAAAAAAAATGTGATCTTGGGTCAACTCGATGCAGTACTGTACTCACTTTGAGTTATGAACTGAAAATTTGATTCATTTAGATTTTAAATTGAGTTATTCATTATTTGCTTTGTTTATGTTTGATTTTGATGGTTTGAGCAAGAATGATCTTGTTAACTATTTTACTAAGGTATTCAGCATGTGTTATTATGGACTGCATCAAGTTCACAAGTTGTGTACTAGTTCAATTTGAAATATTTCACCTGGGTAGAATAGAAGATACATTATAGGCTGTAAGTTTAACTAGTAGGAATTATTGAGCAATACATTTGCCTTTCTATATTTCTTGGGACCATCAGATTGATATTATCTAAACTCAAGCAAAAATTCGGCTTTGCTAATATTTTAGTTGTGCCATTTCCTCTTCACATATTGACTAAACCAGACTATCTCATATTGTGTACTTTATCTGTAAATGGAGCGAGTTATTAAGATCTAGAGATCTGTAGCTCTACCCATCATTTGAACCTTTAGTGGTGATATGTATTTTGGCATCTGAACATTTCAGGAATGGTTTTAAGATGTTGCCTACAGTGTCGGTGACTCCATGATCACATTCTCCTTAGAGTTTGGCAGTTTTTGACAGAGGAAAGGTAAACAGTCCAAAAAGGTTCAAAATACATTATTACGGAACAGAACATAAACATTTTTATTTTATTGTATTGTTGTTGAAACATGAATCAAACATAATAGGTATCTACATTTTGCAGTCCCTGTATTAGAGATAAATTTATCTCAATACCTGTACAACACATGCATAATTTTTATGAAATTTGACACTGGATGCGACATGTTATAGTTGTTAATAGTTGAAGTATTTTTTTTTTTTTTTCCTAGTTAATAGTAGTTAAAGTATTTTGGGATTTCTTTTTCCATATAGTCTATTTGCTCCAAAAAATTATGTATTTGCATATCAGGCATGGAAGGTTTTGAATATCTGGATATACAATGTTTCCGTTTCTTATTCCGCATTTCATTTTCCATTTTTTGCCTTGAAGCTGTTGAGAACTTTTTTTTTATTGTTACTGTGGTAGGCAGAAAACAGGTGTGACTTGTGAGAGAATCGGAGAACGTAATGGTGAAACGGGATTACAATGAGGTTGATGGGCAAGAAAGGTTCATACCGATCTGGTATGTTTTAGATGATACACGGTTCTGACATTTGACACAGTTCTGACGTCGTATAGCTTTCTATCATCATATGTATGAATTTGGCCTATATATTATTTCAGCATGCATATTGTAAAAATCTATTTGACCTACGTACCGCAGCTTCATCTTTTCTTTTTTTTTTTTTGATGGTTTGAATATCTTCCTATTCCTGTTCTTGTTTCTTAGTAATATGTTATTACATTGATACTGATAATGGTAAAAATTGAATTTTTATGATGACAGATAAAAATTCAATGTAGAAACCTATTGTCGACTGTTAAACTGTGGCGATTGCTTATGTTCGGTTTCGTCCCTGCTTGTCAATTTGTTTTTCCTTTGCCACTGCTTTGAAACCCTTTAATCTAGTGTGTAAATGCTATCACTGGATTAAATTAACAAGAGCTATTAACAAGAGCTGTTTTGATGGGAAAGAGTTGAGGAAGAGAGTCGCAGTGTGTCCATTCAGTTGTCTTTCTAGTATTTGAATATCAGATATTATGTTGTTTTGCTGTGTGCTGTCGTTACAGAAAAGCAATGGAAATGAAACATTGTCAAGGTAAGGCAGGTATTGTATTGCAGTACTTTTTCTTTCTTCCTTTTGGCAAACTAGGGTGAGCGGACTCGAACTAGGGCACACTTGCTCGGGAAGCTGGGTGCTCTATCAATTAGATCACTAGGTAATGTCTCGATCTCATTGCGAGTTTTCTGGAAATACATCAAAAGTCGATGGAATATGAGATCAGGAAAGGAAAATGAATGTATTTGTCTCTGTAATTGTCTGGTGCATGTGGAACGGGACTATATACGCCCACTGATGAATCATCATGAGTCTCTAAGAAACCCGTCACTATGTTGTGATGAAAATCAGTATGGCAGCCGGTAATTTGTGTCATTAAATGATCACAAAAGTAGTTGGGATGCAAAATATTGCATACCGAATATTTGGAGCTCGGATTGAATCAAATTTTAACATTGATAAACTTATCCAGGTAAAACCCTTCAGAGGTAGTGATTTGATATATGATCGGCAAGGGTGAAACTCTAATTTTATGTTTTAAAGAATTATCTTGGCAATGCAGGGGAAAATCTCAATTTTTTATTTTTATTTTTTATTTTTTTTAATTAGAAAATAGGATACGAAAATGACGAAGAGATATAGACTATATTAATGAAAGTACGAATAAAATTGGGTAAATGTATATATGTACTGATTAATGAATAAATTTAAATAATGATTGTATGTCGTCTTATTGAACTAAGATTCATATGACAAAAAATATTAATAAATTAGCTAAGATAGTTATATTATACTAATAAATGTTGGTTTAAATTAATAATGATATATATCTCAATACTTTTTTTAAAATAAAAAAAAATTTCTAAACCTTTTTTTTTTATAATAATTATACTATAATATTGTATTTGAAATATATATATATATATATATATATATATATACATATTTTAATGTTGAACACCTGTTTAATAATGTGTGATCTATTTGAACAAATCAATCTCTTTTATAGCGAAGAATACTATGAAAAATAACATCACACGGAGTATTTAACTGAAAAAGGAAAACAAATAAGTCAAAATACATTTTTTCTTTTCTTAACCACTAGCTTTCAGTTCCCTCCACTCTAAATAACATACGTGTGCTATAAACTCAGCTTCCACCACCACCACCACCACCGCAGCCACCTCCGCCATCGCAACCACCTCTTTTCTTCTTAGATTTGTTTGGGTCGTCACCGCACGTAAATTGTGAGGAATATAAACACGAACAAGGAGCAAAAGTTAGGAATAAAGAATAGAACAATTTTAAATCCATAAATGAAAACTCTGCAAATATTACTACGTATTAATCAATGTGTAATGAATGAATAATTGTGCTCTTAGTACACATATTTATATTAGTAAATAAATCCTAAATTTATTTTAAATTTAATGCTCTAGTAACTTCAAAGTTGTGCTTTCAGAGAAAAAAAGAAAAAGAAAAAAAGAAGAAGATATATATATTTATTGTATGGTAATTTTCAGGGGGGAAAAAACTGCAACATCACAAACAATACACAATTTTTCATTTTTTCTTTTATAAACCAAAATACTAGAAAAAGTAATAAGTCTAGCCTGAGGCCATTTTCATTAAATTATATATCATGCTTATTGAATATTTATGATTTGGTGACCAGTGATTAAGAAAATTTGAAAAGAATAATACTGTCTCAGAAAGGATTTATAAATATACCAATATAAAAATTTAACAAATTTGGAAAAGGAGTAATAAAATTAGTTTCTTTCTCTCTCACCTCAATTTTGGATGAATTTAGAATTATAAATTTTGTACATAAAAGATGAGAAATTATTCCATAGTTTCGTCAAATAAAAAGCGGCCACGTAAATAAAAAGTTACCAAAAAAAATAAAAATAAAAAAACAAGAACTTTTTAGAATTGTCCCCATCAATTACTATTAAACACGAAACAAAAAAAAGCTAAAAAAACACAAACTTACACATTTTTAACACAATAATGAATAGGCCGAGACCATTAACTATTGATATGTAAACCATGTAATAACTTCTTCACAAATGATATGTATAACTCCGTGTGACCCGACAAAAACAATGTAGCCGTGAACCATATAAAAATTTCTCCATTGAAGATACCTCTTCCACATTACTTCCTTTCTTATTCTATATCCGTTCTACCAAACAGAAAAATTCTCTCATTTATTTTCTTTCCATATGCCATTTCCCTCCATTCCTTCCCATGAAGCAAGGGCAAGATTGTCCCAAAATAAATAAAAACGTAAAAAGAGCACGTCACCGGGGTACACGATAAAAATGGACGAATGCCACGTCATCAAAACAGACGTGCCCGGTCCTAATCGTTGCCTCCGCACTATAGAAACGGTTCGGACCAGTCCCCACTCTCTCTCTCTCCTCTATTTCTCTCTCTCTACAAATTTTCTCTGAACATTCGCATATATATGGTATGTATGTATGTACACCTTTCTGTTCACTTCTTCATTTTTCCCTCCTATGCTCTGATTTCGAAAGCAAAAATCAACACTAGTCACTCTCACATACAAACCCTAATCTCAGCATTTGCATATCTTTTGTTGTTTTCAGTGCATTGATTGATTTGTTCTCAACTTAATACAGTAATGGCGACGGCGGTTTCACTACCATCGGCGCAACCAGCCCACCAGAATCAGTCGGTGACGGCGTCGCCACCTCAAACGCCGCAGGCGGCGCCGGGAGGGTTCGCCAATGCGTCGCTGTACGTGGGCGATCTCGATGTCTCTGTGACCGAAGGACAACTCTACGATGTGTTCAACCAGGTGGCGCCAGTCGTTTCGGTTAGGGTTTGTAGGGATCACGCTAGAAGAGTCTCGCTGGGTTACGCTTACGTCAATTTCAGTAACGCTCAAGACGGTAAGACATTGTAACGTTGCGTTCTGTTTTGGTACATTTTATTTTAATTAGTTGATGATTTCTTTGTGTGGTGCTTTGATGGGTTTAGTGTTGTTTTAGGGTTTTAGTATTTCTTTTATGTGTGTGAATATGTTTGTTGTAAAATGTAATAGATGATCAGGAATTTTTATTTATTTATTTTGTTTTTCTGTATTTAATTTTTGTTGATGATTTGTTTGTTTGATGCTTTGATGGGTTTAGTGTTGCTTGATGGTGGTTTTAGGGTTTTAGTATATCTCTTTTATATGTGTGTGTATGTGTTTGTTGTAAAATGTAATAGATGATCGGGAATTTTTTATTTTATTTTTCTGAAGTTATTTTTAGTTGATGATTTGTTTGTTTTATTTTTTGATCGGTTGTTGCATGATAGTGGTTTTAGGGTTTTAATATCTCTTTTATATGTGTGTGTATATGTTTGTTGTAAAATGTAATAGATGACCAGGAATTTTTATTTATTTATTTTATTTTTCTGAAGTTATTTTTAGTTGATGATTTGTTTGTTTGATGCTTTGATGGGTTTAGTGCTACGTGATACTGGATTTAGGGTTTTAGTATCTCTTTTATGTGTGTGCGTATATGTTTTTGTTGTAAAATGTAATAGATGACCAGGAATTTTAATTTATTTATTTTATTTTTCTGAAGTTTTTTATTTATTTATTTTTCACATTACTGTGTTTTATCAATATGATATTCAATTGCAATGATTGTGCTTTCTTGTCCATTGTGAAGGTTTTTGCTGGTGAATAGTTTATATATGATGGTGTTTCCTTTTGGAAAGTATACAATTGAAATATTAAGTTTTTGGTGTGTTCTTAATTTTTCTTTTTATAGGTTTTTCAGAAATTATATCGTCAACCCTTTTTAATATGTCAAACAGATTATTATTATTTTTGCTTTAAGGTCTCATATTTCTTTTGAAGTGTATTTTCAGTGGAAATTATTGGTCATAGTGTGTATTTCCATTGCTGCACATTATTGGTCAAATTGGATGCTTTTTATTTGTGGCATTAGTACACACCTGGACGAGCCATTACATTGAGTGATTTACTATTTCGAGAAAATACCTGTGTCTGTTATTTGCATAATCACCGGAATGCAGGTTATCAATGCTTTTGTAAAAGTTGAAAGAATTTTAGGTAGGCATAATGTTTTAGTTTTTTATTTTGTAGCTAATTTTTGGCCCTGACCTTTTTGTGATCTGTAAATTGCAGCTGCTAATGCCAGGGATCTTTTGAATTTTACACCCATCAATGGCAAACCTATCAGAATTATGTTTTCTCAGCGAGATCCTAGTATCCGGAAAAGCGGACATGCTAATGTCTTCGTTAAGAATTTGGACACATCAATAGATAACAAGGCATTGCATGACACTTTTGCTTCCTTTGGCAATGTGCTTTCTTGCAAGGTAGCCGTAGATGGCAATGGAAAATCGAAAGGTTATGGATTTGTGCAGTTTGATCAGGAGGAAGCTGCACAGAATGCAATTAAACAGTTACATGGCATGTTGATAAATGATAAACAAGTTTATCTTGGTATTTTTGTTCGTCATCAAGACAGGAACCAATCAAATGGATCCCCAAAGTTTACCAATGTTTATGTGAAAAACTTTTCTGAAACAACTACTGATGAGGACCTTAGGAAATTTTTTGCAAAGTATGGTACCATTACTAGCGCAGTTGTTATGAGAGATGCAAATGGAAAGTCCAGATGTTTTGGTTTTGTAAATTTCCAAAACCCAGATGCTGCTGCTACTGCAGTTGTGAACTTGAACGGGACCTCTATCAATGATGGCAAAGTTTTATACGTGGGGAAGGCTCAAAGAAAAGCAGAAAGAGAGGCAGAATTTAAAACCAAGTATGAACAGGAAAGAAATAATACATCAGAAAGCTTACAAGGCGCTAATTTATATCTTAAAAATCTTGATGCCAGAATAAATGATGAAAAACTGAAAGAGCTATTCTCTGAGTTTGGGACTGTAACATCATGCAAGGTATATGTGGTTAAACTGAAATTCATGAATGATCCTTGTAAAAAACTGTTCTTTCCTTTTCTTTTAATTAAACTTATGTAGCTAGCTAACCTCGTCTTTATATAATGCAACAATTTGTTCAGGTCATGCTTGATCCACAAGGGGTGAGCAAGGGGTCCGGTTTTGTGGCCTTTTCTACCCCAAAGGAAGCTGCAAGAGCTGTAAGTTGATTTTTCTTTTCTTTTTTCCTTTTCCTTCTGCTTTTGTTTTCCTTGGCAGATCTCTCTCTTTTCCATTTCCATGTATGAAATGGTGATTGCTCTTAAATCTTGTTCAGTTGTCTGAAATGAACGGGAAGATGATTGGATGGAAACCTCTGTATGTTGCCGTTGCACAACGCAAAGAAGAAAGGAGGGCTCAAATGCAGGTGATTTCTTCATCACATCATTTGCTAGTGATACACTCATTGTTTATGTCCTGGAAATAACAGTGAAAATTATTTGAAGTACTAAATTAGTTTATGAATTCTTTTTTCTTTTTTGGGTTTTTGATGCATGTCGTATGGAACAAAGTGACAAGGTGTCTAGTTGATGCTGGGTGCATATTATGTTGTGCTGGATAAGCTTTTCAAGCACTACTTTGATATAGTTGATATACAGATTTTTACCAGCACTCTTTTTTATTCTGAACTGGAAAAGGATATTGTGCTATTCAGTAGTTTTCTGCAATTTGTAATTGTGGTGTCAGTGGACATAGGAACATGAATGCTTGAAATTCAGATGGAACTGGTGCTCTAACAAAAAGTGAGGCATCTGTTTCTTTGCCTTCCAAGTATAACAGATACTTGAACTCTGAACCTAGATTCATATTTGATCTGAGGGTTCAGTATTAGGTTTTGGCATTGTTGATTGAATTGTATAAACAGAATGCTTTTTTAGTTTATAGCCTATTCCGCTACTTTCAGCTCCATACCTGAATAATATGTCCTCTAATCAATAATTTTACAAACTACTATTCTAAAGTGTTAATTAATATATATATATATATATATATATATATATATATATATATATTTACCTGAATAATATGTCCTATATATATATATTATTTATTTATTTGTGGAATCAACTTGGTTCCGGGGTGTTGATATATAAAATTTTCTTATACTTCCCTGCAGACACAATATTAAGTATACTTTTACATGTTATCAATTATCATTATCAGACTTTGTTTTAGATAAATGAATATCAATACCAAATACAATAATAATAATTAGTTGTATTTGTTAAATGTCAACGCTCTACTAAAATTGGTAGTTTTACTTTGGAAAACTTAATTTGTTTTTGTAAAAATAGTTAACAATTGTTTGGAGTTTGTATTAGGATTCAATTCTGTTGGGCTTTTCATGCTTGTCTACCTACTAAATGATGTCTGAGGGAATCATAAATTTAATGTTACAAGAAGGAAAAAAAAGAATTTTCTTTGAGAACCCAAAATGAAATTTCTTAATGATCATCACTTGTTATGATTTATTAACAATGATCATCATTTGTCATGGAGTCTCTTGTATAAATTGAATTTGGAAATGAGCCCAAGATCTTGTTCAATAATTTGTATATTCATAATTATAAGATTTGGTTATCTTTTATATTTAAATTCCTGCATTTTTGTTTGCATTCCGTTTGCTATATGTACTTGCTTTTATTTTCTTTTGAATTCTTAAAATTTTCCATGTTAATTAGTATTTTCTGCTGCTCTTAATGGATTATTTGCTTTACCACTATTTTGTGCCCTATGCAGTTTTTGGGTGTGTGTGTTCTCATTCTCTTGGTGTCAAGCTTTATTCACGATATAATTTCTTTGTACCTTAGGCGCATTTTTCTCACATAGGAGCACCTGCTGGAATGGCATCTTTGCCTACAGGAATGGCTGGATTCTACCCTGGGCCACCTAGGCTTGCTCCTCATCAACTTTACTTTGGTCACGATACCCCTGGTCTGGTACCACCTCTTCCTGCTGGCTATGGCTTTCAGCAGCAACTGTTTCCTGGATTTTACTCGGGTGGATCCCCTAATTTCGTTTGGCCATACCAAGTGCTAAGGCATGGACAACCTGGTCAGCAGTCGGGCATAAGGAGGGGTAGAAATCCTCAACAGATGCGGCAGCCGCAGGTGCATTATGCTTACTGGTTTCACTGAGCATTTCCTTCCTTCCTTTCTTTTTTCTTCCTTCCTGTCTTCGTTTTAGGATGAAGATACATTGTTGATGTCATCATGTCACTGCAATCAAGGTTCAGTAGATGACTACTTGTTTTATTGATAGTAAATGATAGCGGTAAATGGAACATGCGTTGGCTTCCTTATGGTTCTCTTTTACTATTATTTAAATTTAATGATAAAATGGAGCTAATGTCTTTTCATGTCAGTGAAGTGTTTCCGAATTTATAAGGACTAGGCTGGCCATCTTTAGATGATTAATTTTATTGTTGATCTCTCTAAGTGATAATTTTTTTGTTGATTTAATTATAGGTGGTGCATCATCACAACTCCAACCAAAGCTTCAAATACATGGCCAATCGAAATGGCATGCACCACCCATCCATGGTTCATCGAGGTCTCGTGAGTCCAATAATGTCATTGCCTCTTGATGTTTCTGGGACGGCAACTTCAGCCAAGCGATCTGGGCCAGAGGCCATGTCAACACTTGCTTCTGCTTTGGCTTCTGCTACTCCAGAGAATCAGCAGAAGGTATATTGTTTTCATTTCTCCTCTTCTTCAGTGTGGTGATAGTAATTTGATCGAATTTTGGGATCTCAGTAAACTAGAGATGAACGCTATAATGAACGGAACTAATACCTTTAAAAGTCAAGTTGACAATAATTTTGAACTGTTGGCGCCTGATTCTTCATTATATTGGTGTCGAAATGACAGATGCTGGGTGAACATCTATTTCCTCTCGTACAGCGTCTCGGGCATGATAATGCAGGAAAAGTCACCGGCATGCTGCTGGAGATGGACCAAACAGAGGTACTCCATCTCATTGAGTCTCCAGATGCTCTGAAGAAAAAAGTTGCTGAGGCCACGGATGTCCTTTGCTTAGCAGCATCAGGATCTAATTGAGGCCGTCTGATTCCTAATTTAAGTTGAGAAACACATTTTTTGACGTGGATGTGGGGCCCATTGTTTAGTTTTTGCTTCTTACAGGGCCAATGAGTTGGTGATTGTTTTTGGGGGGTTTTGTTCTATACTAATTTTATCTTAGGCTTCTGACTTGGTGTGGACTTGTACTGAAGACTTGGGAAAAGCAGGGTGTTATTATCATTTTTGTCTTTTTCATTTTGTTTAGACTACATGTCTTTTTGACTACTTAATTCAGGTTTCATGGTTTGTTTTGGGGGATTTTTTACTGCTTCATTGTCTTCCATTTCTTTATTATATGTGTTCTTCGATGGTTAATTTTCAGCAGGTTTAAACAAAAATGGGAAAGGAGATTTGAATATACAAAAGGCTGTTTCAAAAGATTTTTCAAAAAGGCCGTTTCAAAAGATTTTAAATCATTACCGCCAAAAAAAATGATACATCCTCCGAACTCGGTAGATGCCAAATGAGTATTGTGTGCTCCACCACATGAGATGGAATGGTAGAGTTCGGGGAAGCAGGGACAATACTGTGCATCAAGACTTGAGAAGATCGTCATTCAATATTTGAAATGATTTTACAATAGTGTTCATAATCCAACAACCACTAGTAATATCACGTAACAGTAATCCAATCATATAAGATGCCTAAAACTAGAAAACCTCCGTGCGCCTAGTGCACCACACTTACAGTTCACTTTTTTTTTTGAGTCACATTGCATGGTGCACCGGGCTCACCCAAGTTCTTCTTGCTTAAAACCCGTGATATAAATCTGTTGATCTCATTCAAGTTTTTCCCGCCCAATCCAACAACCACTAGTAATATCCCATACCAATAATCCCAGGATATCCAGAAATAGGTACAATACCGTGTATTAAGACTTGAGAAGATCGTCCTTCAATATTTGAAATGATTTTACAATAGTGTTCGTAATCCAACAACCACTAGTAATATCCCATACCAATAATCCCGTCACATAACATGCCTAAAACGAGAAAAACTTGGGTGAGCCCAGTGCACCACGCACCGCACTCAAAGTTCAATTTTTTTGAGTCACGATGCATGGTGCACCGGGCTCACCCAAGTTTTTCTTGCTTAAAACCCGTGATATAAATGTGTTGAACTCATCCAAGTTTTTCTTGCCTAGAACTCAGTCATATAAAACTAATTCATATGCTTGAGCCTACAAAAGTGTGTCTGCAATGTCTATGATCATTAGAACATCACTCAGCTCGCATTCGAGTCTTTAGACAAAAAATGTAATGAGCATTTATCAGTTGCAGCCTATTCTGGTTCAGGATAGCCAGAAAATCAAATGCAGAATGCCGGAACATTGCTGAGATCACCGGAAATCAGGGTGGATGTCTTCTTCCACCATTTGATCATTCAATGCTGTCTCCAACACACCATGGTCCCATTCGCCCACATCCCCTGCAACGTCTCTCTTATTTTTGAATTGCAAGTCATCATCGTCATCTGCAATGTAGTCGTTCCATTTTGAAGCCCCTTTGACCATTGTTGGCCGAGATGTCCATGGCACCTTACCTGCAAGGTCACCGTTATTGTCTTGGGTCATGCGATCACTCCATTTAGAAGCCCCTTTGGTCATCGTTGGTTGACATATCCTCGGCTCCTTGTCTGCACAATCACCATCGTTATCTTGTGTTGTGTAAGCACTCCATTTAAAAGCCCCTTTGCTCGTCATTGGTTTACATCTCCTTGGACCCGCATCTACAGAGACGCCTTCCTCATCTGGCATCTTATAATCACTCCATTTGGAAGCTCCTTTGATAGTGTGAGGCTGGCAATTTCTCGACGACTCTGCAATATTCGAACTGTGAGCAAATATGCTTTGCAATACAAGAAGATTTGAGTGCCTAAATTAGAGGTTTTAGGCATAAAATCAAGAGGGCATGGTTATATTTAGCTTAATGATCTATTTAAATTTTAACTAGTGTAAGTACTAAAGTAATTGGATGACTGTAAATCACCAAATCATAAAAAAAATTAATCAAGGAGTCTTCGTTTTTTCTGAAAATAATTGGCCATTTTGGGCAAGTGAACTGAAGCACACAACTCAATTTCATGTTGTAGGAGCTAATATGGTGAAATGGAAGAGGCGAAGAGCTGCATTACCTCGAGAGCTGATATGCTTGTTCGAACTTCTCTTTGAGAACACAGGTTTGAAAAGTTCTTCACCATCTTTGGCATCTATACCGGTCGAATATTTATTCAGTTTTGGTCTTTTGAACAATGCTTTAGGCAACTCTGTCACAAACTTTTGTTCGAACACCTCCCCTGCACACCAAAAATATCAAATTATCACTAACTAGAACTCCTCAAAACTAGCTGGAACTTTATTCTTGGCATTTCGAAAGTGCTTGAAACTCATCAACTGAAATGATCAAAATTTTAGGGCTTAACTTAGAATCATTTGTTCTTATGTGTGTGTGTGTGACAATTTTCTAATTGAATTGCATTTAGAGATTACACAGAATCATTTGTTCTTATATATGTGTGTGTAATTATTTTCTATTTCAATTCCATTCAGGTATATTACACAGAATCATTTGTTCTTCATACTCTTCCGACGATTTCATAGTAAATCATAAGAAACGGGACATTTTATTAAAAAGAAAATGAACTTAATTTGAAACATGATAAGTCGACAAATTCATTTATATATATATACACACACACACACATTGCAATTTTCTACTTGAATTGCATTTAGGGCTTAACAAAGCATCATTTATACTTATATTACTCTTCAAACAATTTAAAGCTACCTTTAAAACAAAAATTATAGAATATGAACTAAATTTGCAACATTTATAGATATATATGTGTGTGTGTGTTTTACGATTTTCTATTGGATTCCATGAATGACTACCTTGTTCTTCTTCAATTTGGTTATCGTGATCATCCTCAGGATCAATGTACTCGCTCCAATCGGTTCTTCTTTTCTTGTCATTGCTCGAATCAAAGTGGTGGTCGATCTGTTCAAGGAGCGGATCTAGGGTTTGTTCTGTACATTGTTCTTGGGCAAATTGGCGGGACATGTTGAAGCTCTGAACGAATTTGCGAACATCCCTGGCCATGAATCCTTGAGCATAAACCTTCCGTACCGATTGCTTCTCGTTGCACACCACACAAACCCACTTGTTGCTGCTCTTCTTCTGTTGCTTCACCTGTAAATCAAAACACCACCAAAATCAACAATCACATATACATATACATATATACACACACACACACACACAAACTTCCACATAAATCTATACAATTTATGTAATTATGTATGTGTATGTATATGCATCAAAACAACAACAAAATCGACTATCAAATATATACATATATATACACTTTATGTATGTATGTGTATATATGTATAGAGAGAGAGAGACATTTGCCTGCATTGTAGAACACTGGCAACATTGAAGAGCGATGAAGATTGTGGGCATTGTCGAGCAGAGTTGGTGTGATTTTTTTCTCCTCTCTCACTTTTCGAGTACTAATGTGATTTGGTACTAATTTTTGGCGCTAATAAGTGCTTTTAAATTTATCACGTCTAAGGGTTGTGTTTGGTACTTTGGTTATACGGGCCGAGTAACCCAAAAATGTGTTTGGTGACGGACTTATGCTGGCAGTGCCCATTTGGTGCTGGTTCTGTAAGATAATTAATTTCTTTTTTGTTCTAGATTTGATTCCAACTCTTATACTAAATCATTTCATTTAAATATATATATATACACACACACACACACACACACATTGAAAATACCAAAAATGATCTGGGCCGGGTACGATTCGAGTGGTTAAGAGTGGGTCAGACAAGGACAATCGTACTGGACCGAGTCTTTATTAGTCAAGCCCAAGACCGGGAATTCAGGTTGGAAGCCCGACTCTAGAAAGAAGAAATTGAGCCCATGACCAAGAAGGGCCCAGGCGATCAGCCCAATGCAAGGAGTTAGTTAGGAAGCTTCTAGAAGATCTGTAACAATTTATAAATAGACTGAAAATAGAGGAGAAATGGGTAGGAAAATATTTGAAGTATAGAAATATTCTTTCCAAATTGAGAGGGAAAATTTCTTCGAGTCTTCATTAGTCAAGCCCAAGACCGGGAATTCAGGTTGGAAGCCCGACTCTAGAAAGAAGAAATTGAGCCCATGACCAAGAATGGCCCAGGCGATTAGCCCAATGCAAGGAGTTAGTTAGGAAGCTTCTAAAAGATCTGTAACAGTTTTTAAATAGACTGAAAATAGAGGGGAAATGGGTAGGAAAATATTTGAAGTGTAGAACTATTCTTTCCAAACTGAGAGGCAAAATTTCTTGCATCTTTATATATATATATATATATATATATATATATATATGCAATACAAATGGTCACTTATATTGGCAATTTCAAGTGGTCATTATTTACCTTTTATTGAGTTTAAAGTATGTTTGATTCGATGAAAAATTTTCAAAAAATATTTTCTTTTTTACGTAAAATATTTTTTTAGGGTAGTGTTTGGTTACACAAGCCGAGTAACCCAAAAATGTGTTTGGTGACGGACTTAAGCTGGCCGTGCCCATTTGGTGCTGGTTCTGTAAGATAATTAATTTCTTTTCTGTTCTAGATTTGATTCCAACTCTTATAATAAATCATTTCATTTTTCATTTTTTATTTTTTATTTTTTAAAAAAGAGAGTATATAATATGCAATACAAATGGTCACTTATTGGCAAATATTTTTCAAGTGGGCACTAATCACTATTTACTTTTTATTGAGTTTAAAGTTTTTGTAAAGCAAATCTCTTTCAATGTTAATCACCAAAATTTTATTTTTCCCAAAGGTCAACGGAACAATTCTGCACACTAGGGCTACGTTTGTTTCTTTTTTTAAAAAAATATTTTCTTTTTTTATTTAAAATATTTTTTATTTTTATTTTTTTTGTGTGACAAAGATCTAGGTCGAGTCTATCGAGTATGGCATGTAAAATAACTTATCGAAAATTGATAGATAACTTATTTTTTTAGATTCTAATATATTTTCTATTTATAAATATTTTAAGACAACCAAATACGAAAAAAAATAAAAAATAAAAAACATCCAAACAAAAAAGATTTTCTATTTCCAAAGAGAACTCCCTCCTTTTTTTGGGAGATACAAGTAGGTTTTTCCTTGGACTTTATCTTAGGCTCATACTGGGCCGTCATGAATTTTCATGTTCGGCTGACAAATTGGTCGAGCTTTGCCAATAGTATCACGGCCCGTTATACCCGTTTATTTAATTTTGATCCAATAGTCTCATTTTAAAAAATGGGATTTTTACTAATACATGGGCTTAAGGCCCAAATGTTACACTAAAATGAAAACAAAGTCTTGAAGTTTCAGTTAATGGATTGACCACCACAATATTTCTCTAAAATGAACTTTACTTTATGCTTTAGACCACATAACAAACTATATTATTATTAAAGACCCAAAACAATACTTTTATCTTATATTGTTCTATAAGCTTCCCAAAAGATCCTTGAATACATATAAAATAATAAAATTTCACAGTAGATTAATATGGACTTAGAGACTTCTTTAGACAAAAGATCATATATATAAATTAAATTTAACGAAACAGTATAAGCTCTAATACCAAAATTGAGTTGGATCTAACCAGATAAAAGCATGCAAAATAACATAAAATAAATTTAACAATTAAATCACAGAAATGACTGCCGAACCTGATAACGCTTTGATAACGCCCTGTAAAAACGCCTGAACACCAACAAGAACGGGCCAACAAGTCAACAGTTTGAGTCAACTCACAGAACAAATTATTAAATTAATACTAAGGCGACTTGTACTAGTTGGATTCAAGAAAATTCTAGGATCTATACTGTCTGGCTATATAAAATCTATATATTAGATCTTTTTGTCGACCGAAGTCTTTTACCCGAAAGTACTGAAAATACTAAATTGGGATTAGGAGGTTTTGAATAAGTCAAATTGGATAATTTATTTCATAAGTAATATATACATGGATACACACTGTTTATACATGGATACACTCTCACACTATATTTTACAAAGGAAATATACTGAAAGAAGTCACAAAACACACTGGAAACTGGAAGCTAGAATGCTTGATGGTTCTAGACTTGATTGCTCTAAAACTCGATATCTTTTACTTGAGCAGAAAGGGTCCTTTTATAGCAGAAGAGAGGGATAAATCAGCGGTTGAGCTTAAAGATGCTGCATGGATGATTGAGATTCAAGATGCTTTAGAGATAAGATGACATGAATTATTGCTGAACTGTTGATGTCTTCTTCTGGAGAAATATCTACTTTTGCTGTTGAGAATTTGCTTTCGGTGGATCTGCTTTTAATTGTACACTGTTGAGAATCTACTTTTCTTGAATGCTGAAGTTGTTTTTTCTTGTATACTGTGGAGAATTTGCTTTTCACTAGAATTCTTGCATATTGGACAAATTTCTGTCGGTAGTACTATCTGTTGGACTGTCAACTCTTGCTCTAGCATACCTGCGGGCCAGGTATTCATCAGTACTGTCTGGTGAGATGGTTTCTTCATTTCTATAGAAAAGATCAAACTATTCTAACAACATCTTTTCTTCATTTATTAGTTCTTCAACTTCTGGGGATATCTCAATCTCTGGAGGGAACTTAATGACATGAGGAATTCTTGCTTTAACAAAAATTTCCATGTTGATATTATGATCATAGAGTCTGAAACCAGGATTGTAGCTTGGGTTAATTTGTCGATAGGCTTTATAGTACACTAAATGGTTAAAGGTAGCTGGTTCTATCTCATTACAAAAGTTATTTACAAAATCAACATGTTCGGTAAGAATTTTGACTTCAGTTGGATCAGAATGAATGTAAATTCAATGTTGTCCCAAAATTATAGCTCCATCTTTTACCTATTCCGGGGGAGTACTGTGGATTTGAAGGAGAATTGGACTTTCTGGCATAAAATTTTGGGTTAGTTTCTGTTCGAAGGCAATGGCTTGATTTAAAAGGTTAGGAAAATTACATAAAGAATTTAGATATTCTAAGGGCGTGTCATTAGGTATAACGACACTGTATATCATTCTTAGTTCTAACAGCTTGCTTAAATAACAAATGGTTGTTTTGGTAGAGAAAAAGGGTTTTTCTGGTTATTTCAAAAGGAATAAAGAAAATAGGGTCTACATCTAACAAGATAATGGCTATTGGTATGTCAATGCCTGTTTGTATTAATCTTATGAAAGTATGGTTATAACGGGTTCCTTTAGGTGGACTGTTGTTTCTAAGGTAATTTTGAATATCAACCCATTCCTTAAACCCATCTGACTTAATTTCTTCAAGGATAAGTTCTTTGATGTCTTCTGGAAAGAGCTCAACTTGTTGTCGCAGGATTTCTCTGTATGTAAGAGAAAACATGGGTAATAACTTGGCATACTTGGTTTGTACCTGCAGAAATTGAACCTTCTGAAGATTTTCATCTTCATTAGTCCGTTGCTCAGAAATAGTTAGTTTTGTGGGATTTGTTGTCGTCTTTTGATAAGCTAAATTTAACTTTTTATAATGAGATATAAGCGTCTCATGTTCTTGCTGTAAATTTTGATACGCTTTATTAGATGATACGAAATATTCACTTAAAGTGTTTAGATTTCTGACGAGGGTTCTATCGAGGTTGTTTCTAGAAAACCAAATATTATCTAAAATAAGTTTTTGGTTAGGAAAAAAATTATGTCTAGCGCGGAACTGTTGAGCTGGGTTTTGGATAATTAAAAGAGGATTAGAAGTGCCTAGTATAAGGCTATAGCTATTGTTGCTCTTGATTTTCATTCCTGCAAAATTTAACAATCGATTAGTAAATGAGATATAATATCTGCTAAATAATTATCTTTTCCTTTAACATGTTCAAATATAGGTTTAAAACCTCTTCCAGTAATACAGTCAATAAAGGAAATCCATCTCTTAACAGACATCCGCTATTGTTTTGCTTTATTTGCAAATTTAACTATATTATCACAATCTGTTCGTATAAGAAATTCTTTATCAAGGAATATCTAAAATTTTTTAATAGAGTTGGTTACCCCTAGAATTTCTAGATTTGTTGAGGGTAAAATAGATTGTGCTTTATTAAAAGTTCCACTAGCATGGCGACAGATTTGTTCTTCATCTCGAGAAGACTCTTTTATTGGTCTTTGAAGAAGTAACCCTGTCCATCCTTGAGCTGATGCATCTGTTTGAATAATTTTATAACTTTTTTCAAGTGGGAGTTGTAAAGGTTCTAACTGAGAGACTAAATATTTAATTTTCTTAACTAACTCTATATCTTGGGTATTGAAAT